ACCCTGCTCAGTCTGGACTCATGTTTCACTTCCTCCCCACCCCCGCCCACATCCCAGTCTCCATTTCCCAGGGATGGGATCACTGAGCAAGAGGTGACAAGAGATCTTGGGTTCCATAGCTGATGACAGCCCTGAGACTCAGCCCCTCATCTCTTGCCATCTGGCCTCAGCAGGGAGAAAGACTGAAACTGTTTTGACACAGAGATGAGAGGCTGTCCTGGACAGCAGCGTCCTGCCTATAGACCCTGAGCTGCTCTAGCCCGTGCTGACAAGCCTGCACCAGCAGGGCTGCTCCTGCTCCTAGAGGCCCATGACAAGCATAATGCTCAATGCCCATGCTGACTGAGCTCTCTGGGAGGTTATTTGAGACCCTATGCACGATGAAATCTGCACCTGTTGCCCCCTAGTTCACTCCTCACCTTCCAGTTCTGCTCACTTTCCAAGGGCTGGTGTGACATGAGAAGGGAAGAAGGTAGGACTGCGCACCTCAGTCTCCACTGCCACAGAGCTCCACTGGGTGCTTTGCAGGGAGTTACCAATGTGCTGGCAGCCACAGGAGGCAGGGGAGGGAGCCTCAGGAAGCAGCGCAGGCAGGGATCTCGTACCTGACTTGCACATGGAGGTCAAAGCGTTTCCTGGAAGCAGGGCTGCACTTCTCGGGTGCCGTGCTCACACTCAGGACAAAGGTCGCGTTGCTCTCTGGGGGCGGGATGTTATAGCGCAGAGTCGTCTGGGGGGAAGAATTTGTCTGTGTAGTGCCCAGGGGGCTTGCTACATAAACAGAGACAACCAGTGCCGAGGGGGCTTGCTATCGAAACAGACCCATCTACTCTCAGGCTTCTCACCCGTTTGTCACCAGCAGGTACCTGGCTGATCCCACACAAGGGTGTGTGCCCATACACAGCATGGGTAACATATGGGGCAAAACACATTCCTGGCACAAGGCCTTTGACTTCAGTAGTTACAACAAGGAGAACCCTGAGGTGAAGCTGCTCATGAGCCTGGCTTTGCATAGTTGCCAGACGACAGCTGGGTTCTAAGGTGGCGATAGTGTTTCAGGAGTTGTTGCAGCCATGTTGGTCCCAGGGTATTAGAGACAAGGGGGAAGGTACCCTAGGCCGTGTCCAGACTCAGGGGTTTTTTCGGGAAAAGTAGCCTTTTTTCGAAAGAACTTCCCCTGCGTCCAGACTCAAGCCGCGTTCTTTCGAAATTATTTCGAAAGAACGCGGCTTTTCTTTCGATGGCGGTAAACCTCAATTTACGAGGAAGAACGCCTTCTTTCGAAAGTTCCTCTTTCGAAAGAAGGCGTTCTTCAATGTAAAGAGGCCGTCTTCGAAAGAGAGCATCCAGACTCGCTGGGTACTCTCTTTCGAAAAAGCGGATTTCTCTTTCGAAAGATCCGCCTGCAGTCTAGACGTGATCTTTCGAAAGAGGCTCTTTCGAAAGATGCTTTCGAAAGAGCCTCTTTCGAAAGAAGCCTGCAGTCTAGACATAGCCCTAGAGTGCTTGTTTTTGCTGAAACTAACATTGCTATCTCAGAAATCTGAAGTAAATATCTGTTATTGGACCAACTTCTGTTAGTGAGAGAGTAGGGATGTGTATCAGGGCTGGACAACATTCCCCAGCTCTATATGGAATGACAGGGCCATGCATAAGAACATAAGAACGGCCATACTGGGTCAGACCAAAGGTCCATCTAGCCCAGTAGCCTGTCTGCCGACAGTGGCCAGAACCACGTGCCCCAAAGGGGGTGGCCCGAAGATAATGATCAAGTGATTTGTCTCCTGCCATCCATCTCCAGCCTCTGACAAACAGAGGCCAGGGACACCATTTCTATCCCCTGGCTAATAGCCTTTTATGGACCTAACCTCCATGAAATTATCTAGCTTCTCTTTAAACTCTATTACAGTCCTAGCCTTCACAGCCTCCTCTGGCAAGGAGTTCCACAGGTTGACTATGTGCTGTGTGAAGAAGCTGGCATCATGGGAAAGATAGCCAGTGTCATAAAATCATAGAGCTGGAAAGAGACCTCAGGAGGTCATCAAGTCCAGAACCCTGCCCAAAGCAGGACCAATCCCAACTGAATTAACTCAGCCAGAGCTTTGTCAAGCCGAGACTTAAAAACCTCTAGGAATGGAGATTCTGCCACTTCCCTAGGTAACCCATTCCAGTGCTTCACCATCCTCCTAGTGAAATAATTTTTCCTAATATCCAACCTAGACTTCTTCCATGGTAATTTGAGACCATTACTCCTTGTTCTGCCATCCGTCACAGTGTCCACAACCCCAGCGGCTGTTACAAGGGCTATGGAACTTGATGCAGGAGCCACAGGGTGAAATGGTACGGCCTGTGTTCTCTTTCTTGTAGCTGCATAGAATCAATGACAAAGAACTCCCCGAATGCCCCACTGCACTGCACTGCACGGCATGGCAGCTGTGTACGGGCTGGCAGGGCTGACACATGCTCCTGCAGGGAAATGCTGTTGTCTGGAGGCACTCGAGCCATGTTCACTGTAACTACCCCAGTAAGTGTACCAAAGCTCCCGAAGCTCAGCCTCTAGTATAGGCAGGGTCAAAGGCAGACCCAGACCCAGAATAAAGATAGACAGATACATAGTGTGTTAGATCAAATCCTGCTCTTCTGGGAGTCAGTGGCAAAATTCCTGTTGACTCCAATGGGCCATGGCTCACCTGCACATACACACAGCCATTCCCAATGGCCTGCACCATGTACTTCCCTGGGACTTGAGGGAGTGATGCTTGCTGCAGTACCAGCTGGTTCTTCTTATCCACGTGGAACTCCTGCTGTGAGCCCTCCATGGATTTCACTGTCACCTTTACCCCTTCTGCCTCGCGGTACGTCAGGGCTGCATACCTGGTTAAGGCCTGAAGGCCGACGACTGTGTCCTGGGAAGAGAGAGACAGACACCGCACTGTGTGCGTCACCTCTTTGCAATCCAGAGTCAGCACTTTGGAATGATAGGGTCTGTGCGCTGTAGAGCACACTCCTGCCCCGCAGGGTGGCGAGACCCACACTTCTCAGACCTCGTTAACAAGGTTCCAACTCCTAGCTCCCGAACAAACAATATCTGTACCATCCAGGCCACAAGCTGCTGGATTCCCACCCCCAGCACTCACCAGAGTGTGATCCTCCACGCCAATCCTCCAAGCACTGCAGGTGACTTGTACCCTCCCTGTCAGGGCTTCATTGCCAGGTTAGACTCATGGCCCCTGTCTCCCCAAGCATGCAGTGTCTCCCTCCATTTCTGAGGGCGCTGGGGGGTACCTGAGTGGAGGCAAAGCCCCCGTAGGAGTTCCGTTGACTGATGAGCCAGCGCACAATCTTGGAAGCAGCTGCAATTTCTGCAGCTGATACCTCTGGTGTGGAAATGTGAGCTAGGAGGACATAAGCCACAGTCTCAATTGATGATGATGATGATGATGATGATAAAGATAAAAAATATGCCATCAACTCTTCAATGGAGTGCCCATGTCCTTCCCGGAACAGATATCCTCCTGAGGGGGAGAAAAACAGTGCAGAAGAATGTACTTTTGACCCACTCAGTATTATCCAAGCCTCCTAGAGCTCTGCACCGTGTCAGGCACCCGTCCTGGCGTGGGGAACTTCTCACGGCAAGGACTGCAGCTCCTG